AGATCTGCATGTGGAAGGGTGAGGGATGCCTGGGTGGCTCAGTTGGTTAAGGGTCTGCCTTCAGCTCAGGTCACGATCCCAGGGTCCTGGGATCGAGCCCCACATTGGGTTCCTTGCTCAGCAGAGAGTCTGCTTCTCCCTCTGCCTGCCGTTCCCCTTGCTTGTGCGCGCTCTCTCTCTCTGACAAATAAAATCTTTAAAAGAAAATTGTTCTCTTTCAGAGCATCTAGATTCCTCTTAACATAACTCTTGCCTAAGAAAACTATTAGGTATTCAAAAATTCACAAAAAAACGATAACTGGTTCCCTTCTATTCTTTCTCTGGGCAAATCTTAGCCAAAAACAAACAAACAAACAAACAAACTGCTGAACATCTAGAATATAGTATCACAGAGCAAGAATACAGACATCTTGAAGTTGTTTATAAAGATGGGATAGCCTGGGGCACCTGAGTGACTCAGTCGGGTTGAGTGTCCTACTCTTGATTTTGGCTCAGGTCATGATCTCAGGGTCGCGAGATCGGGCCCCGTGTTGGGCTTGGTGCTCAGTCAGAGTCTGCTTGTCCTTCTCCCTCTGCTCCTCCCCCGACTTGTGTTCTCTGTCTCTCTCTAACAAATAAATAAATAAAATCTTAAAAAAAAAAAAAAAAAGATGGGCTATCCTAAGAAACTTTATCTACTCATTTTGAAACCATGCCAGTATCTCTTGACTCTATCCTTACCATCAGAATCTATGAAGATATCATATGAGAATAAAAAATAGAATAGATAGCCCATAGCACTGCTGCTTAATTTCTCTAAGCTGCCATCAAAAATAGAATGAGTCTCAAAGCACCTGAACCCGAATTAAGCCATTAAGCACTCTAGCTCTGAGATAAAATTCAAAGTCCATCTCTGGACATAAATCCAGGTAAGATTAGAGTTGCTGACAAGTAGTTCTACTTTAGGTGAAAATTATGTGTTAAAATCTAAATTCCCAGGTAAGCTTCTAAGTGGCAAGCTGCCACTTGAAAACTATTTTTCTGCTTTCCTCCTTTGAAAACCTCCTGCTGTTGACATTTTGTGAATGAGGAAATTGACCACAACAGCAGAAAAGAGGCAAACTCAAATTAAAGTGCTTCGTCTCAATTGAGCAAGCCATGCTGCACCCTCATCAATGTAAAGATACAAAAATGTAAAAATGCAAAAATGAACATATCCCAAACATCACCCACCCCCCCATCCTAAATATTTCAAACTCTACCACCAGATACACAGAGGAGTTATTTTGCATGAATCATTATTCACAGCAAAAGGGAACAATTGTGCTAGCTTTTGCTTTCGCACATACAGAGCAGAAAAATGAGAAAAATAAGACTATGAGAGGAGGGAATGAGAAGGCAAGAGAGGAGTAAATAACCAAAACTGACGCAAAGTTTAATTCCTCTTCTTACTGTCGGGTCACTTATCTCCATTAAAAATCACCGAGAAGTCAGATTGTATTAGGAAACCTCAAAATACTTTATTCAATGGAAAATACAATGTCATTTTGTGATCTGTTCCTCCAGGCCTCAAAATTCTTGCAGCCTCCCCTGCTCTCCAGGGTATTCAAAACTCTGAGTTTGAAGACCCCGTGGGAAATCAAAACCATAACATAAAGGGAGATGGTTCCTGAGAGATGGCACAAACCAACTCCCATGTTCCACAACCAGGGTTACGGAGGCCTAGAGCCATGAGGTGGTGTTAGAGACTGAATTGTGTCCCCCAAAATTCACATGTTGAAGTCCTAACCCCAGCACCTCAACATGTGACTGTACTTGAAGACAGGGGATTTTCACAGGTAATTAAGCTAAACTGAGATCATTAGAGTGGGCCCTAATCCAATATGACTGGTGTCCTTACAAGAAAAGGAAATTGGACAGAGGTAGCGGGAAGATGATGTGAACACACAGGGAAAAAATGGCCATCCACAAGCCAAGGCTTGGAACAGATCCTTCCTTCATGGCCCTCTGAAGCAAGATCCCGACACCTTGACCTCGGACGTCTGGCCTCCAGAACTACGACACAATAAATTTCTGTTATTTAAGCCACTCGTCCTGTGGTACTTTGCTACAGGGGCCCTAGCAAAGTAATACAGGTGACTTGCCTCACGTGGTCCGGTAGGTGATAGAAAACAGCCAGAATGAAGCCCAGATTTCCAGACTCTTAATATCCACGGGGCTTTCCACCTCACTACGCTCCCTTCCAATTTAACTCCCTGTTTTTTGCTCAAAGTCCTCTCCCACAAAAATCTTACACTCATTCAGCTTGTTAAGGACTATGCTAAATATATACTGTTTATGCTAAACTCTCATGAGATCTACTCCCACATCGCCAAAAAGACATTTTTGTATAGACGTATCATGAACTCAGAAAGTCCAAAACTCAAATCCACTATTCCACAGTTAGTATGGCACCATTCTGGAACCTAAGAAAGCCTAGGTACAAGATCCAACGCCGTGGACAAGTTATCTAACCTCTCTAGGCCTCAATTCCATACTCGTATCACAGATTCTATAGACAGTATAAACTCTATACAAAATCCCTTCGGAGGGCTCAAGTGAAGCTTACAGTAGATAACTGCCCTTTTGAACTGCGAAGTGTTAAAAGCAACACAAATTATTTCTCTCTCTGGCACCATTTTTTTTACTCATTCAAACTCAAAACCATTTATGTTTCCCTCTCAAATAATCTCTAACCAGTAATTCACCTTGTTTTGGCATTTCTTTCTCTACAAATCCTTTTTTGTCACTGCTTTCTAATCAATCCAGGTCCTCGTGATTTCAAATCTGCACGACTTTGAATGACTGATTTATCAGCTTCCAGGTTCCTCCTCATCTAATCTATATCATATCCTAATATCAGATTTATCTTCCTAATACACTCAATTCAAAAGTCTTCAGAGGCTCCCTAACCCACAGAAGCCTGCATTCTCTGACACAACTGCCTCCCAGGGCCCGTTCCCAAGTTTATCTCAAGGCCTACCTTGTGCCCAATGGCCTTGCCTCATACCTAGGCAGTATGAACAGATCAATAACCACTTCAATTTGGCTCTATTTGTTTCTCCCCTTGAACTTCGCACTGATGAGTCCAACTGTCACAACTGGATCCTCTAATACCATTATAAACTTGCCCTGAACCTTGAACCGAGGCTAGCACGAACAGCAAGGGCAGGTTGGTAACCTGCAGTGTATACCCTACATGTTAGGGAGCGTGCCTGCTGCCCAGTTTCATTTCCTCCTGCTTCTCTCTTGGCCCAGCATCTCTTTGCCCCTTTCCTACTCCCTAGCACTCAGGGTCTAGCAAAATCCAATTCAAGAGCGCTCCACCTTGCCTACCTCCAGAGCTCGATGGGAACCACTGCTGTATCTCAACCTGTGGTTTCCAATCCCATCAGACGGAGCACCCTCTATGCAACGAATATTTCATAAAGATGCCTTCACAACAACATTTTCAGCTAAGTAGGAATGATGGAAATCAAACGGAAGTGGTACGAAAAGGAGAATGAGGTGAGAAAGTGAAAACCAAAGGGAGGCCTCTCAGAAACAAATGTAAATCAGAATGATGGTTGTGAGAAACAAATCAGACCAGTGACAGACTACATTTAATTCCTCAATACCTTAATGATATTATTGCAGTAAATCACTCACAGTTATCTTGTTGTGGGCCAGCTATAGTTCCTTCAATGCAAAAAATAAGCTGAAGTCTTACGTCAAGATAATTAGTACTTTTAAAAATGTAGTGGAGGGAGTATAATACTAAGTGAAATAAGTCAGTCGGAGAAAGACAAATACCATATGATTTCACCTGTATGTGGAATTTAAGGGAAAAAAAACAAACAAAAAAACAAAACAACCCAAGAAACACTCTTAACTAGAGAGAACAAACTGATCGTTACCTGAGGGGAGGTGGGTGGGGGGATGGGTGACATAGGTGAAGGGGATGAAGAATACACTTATCATGATGAGCACTGAGTAATGTACAGAACTGCCGAATCACTATATTGCTATACACCTGAAACTAATATAACACTTTGTTAACTATATTGGCACTAAAATTTTTAAATGTAGTGGAGGGAAAGCTATTAATACTAAAAATTGTGAAACTGAACTGAAGAGTTCTCACTAATAAAAAGATATTTTATTCTCTTGGACTAGAGAAACTATGCAGAAATAAAATATAAAGCAATTTTATTTTATAAAAATTAAAAACATGTATGTAACAAACTATGTTGTAAGAGAAATTTTTAGAAAAAGGACCAAAGAAAATATTACAAGATAAATGATGCTAATATATAAAGAGTATCTATATGTCAATAAGAAAGACCAACAGAGGGACGCCTGGGTGGCTCAGTTGTTAAGCGACTGCCTTCAGCTCAGGTCATGATCCTGGAGTCCCGGGATCGAGTCCCGCATTGGGCTCCCTGCTCAGCAGGGAGTCTGCTTCTTCCTCTGACCCTCCCCCCTCTCATGTGCTTCTCTCTCTCTCTCATTCTCTCTCTCTCAAATAAATAAATAAAATCTTTAAAAAAAAAAGAAAGACCAACAGAAAAAATAGTAAAGGACAGGAACAAAGAAATCAAGAAAGAAGAAATACAAATGACTAACAAGATAGCATAAGCCCAGTATGTGTAAGGAATTTTCTTAAAAGGCAAGAATATAAAGTAATGCTAGATTAATATGTACCTTAGAAACCCTACAAACAAAACCAGGCATATAAAATTCCTTGCAGTCAGCTTTAGTCTCACCATCAATACACATCAGATTTTTTCCCCCACACCTGAGTATACAGCAGGATTGTCTTATTTTATTTAACATGACTAGATATGATTGCAAGAGATTCTGATTTTTAAATTTCAGTTTACACTTTCCGATGAGATATAACCATATAATTTACAAACTCTGCGTATGCACAGGTGAGTAATATTTAAACAGCGACAGGAATCATGCAAACACAAAAACAAAGATAACAAGAAAATGCCTACCTTCCCTGATCGCTGTGAAAGGTGTACCTTCTTCTTCCTGCAGCCTGATCACCTTCAGGGCTACCAACTTCCCATTTACTCTGGCGGAAACGAAAGAAAAGATAAGTGAATCCATGAGAATATGTTCCCGTTACGGCTCTAATTTTCTTACAGTTTATATTTTATGCATTTTTGCACTGAAAATGTCAGTGACTCAATCATGCCACCACAACAAGATTAATTTCAGTAAGGTTGGGAATTTTCTATCATCATTATAAATATTCACATTTTAAATATTCACACTCGCCTCATCCAAGATTTAACCGAAGTTTTCTATGATTCCCTCTATGTTCCTTCCAGAATGAAACTAGTGCTTAACAAAATCACCACGCTTGATCAATCATTCTCAGGCTAATCAGAAATCAAGAAATCAAAAGAACTCTTTTCCTTAGTTTTTCCAATAGCTCCTTCGTTTCCTTGGCTGAAATGTCTTCGTCTTCAGTCTGAAGCTGAGGTCATTCAATCCCCAAGGTCAGAAACTCGACACTCAGACCTCTCTCTTCCCTCTTCTTTCTCTCTCTCAATATCACTCATTCCTCCCTTTCTCATTATTTTTTTTTACTAGAGCCTTCTAAAATTATATTTGGTCTGAATGTGTCTTATGATACATTAGTATATCATCAAAATAAAAGTTATGAATGTTTTACTATTATAAGATTACACAGGACCTTTCCAAAGCAGATGGTTCTTCCAGACGTATTCTAAATGTGTATTGGCTCTAATTAAAAGTCAGACTGCAGTAGGCAGATAACTTTTTTATCTAGTCAATTCTGTTAACAAAAACATGACAATCTACATTGGTCTTCTAGGCAAATGCTCTCCTTTACCTTTACTAGGCCCAGCAGCATCCTTTGTTAATAAGAATAGATAAAACAAGCACACATTACAAATGTAAAAGGTACAAGAAGGCATTTGATGAAAAGTAGGTCTCTCTGCTATGCTCCTTCAGCCACCCAGCTCCCATCCTGTGAGGTCACCGGTTACCACTGTTCATATATACTTACACACACACACATATATGGTAGTATGCTAGACAGAGTACACTGTGTATTTTACCTTAACAAATTTGGTGACTTCCTCATAAATTCATAGAGAAAACTTTCTATTGCTTTTGAAAGACCACAGGGTACTCCTTTGTATACATGTAATATACTTCATTTAATCCCAGTCTTGTACTGATGGTCGTTTAGCATGTTCCCAATTTTTTGCTACTACAACAATGGTGGCGATAAATATTCTTGGACATGTAACTTCATTCAGGTAAAAAAAAAATATCTGGAAGATAAATTCCTAAAAATGGCATTGCAAGTTTGAAATGTATGTGCATATCTAAATTCTAATTCTGATGAATAGTGGGAAATTATCCTACATGGAGGTTGTACCAACTTACAATTCCTACAGAACAAATGTAAGAGCTCCTGTTAGCCCCTTCACCTATACAATGTTATCAACCACTGACTCTGCCAATCTGAGAGATAAAAATTGCAACCACAAATCTTCAGAGCTTATGGAACCAGCAAACAAGAACTCATGTGGTCCAGAGAATCCAGTGCCTGAGTCTGAAACAAAGAATGAGAATGTCTCTTTTTTAAGAACTGCATCCAATTGGTCTGGTTTTGCTCAAAAAACTGCCACAGACACAAAACTTGAAAGTCCAAAGAATTCAGCATAGCCCAACCATCCCAGTGGCATTCCTCATTGCGCTAACTATGGAAATACTTTGTTGGTTACCCTAATGGTATAACGCCATCTGATTATAAAGCCCCACAATGTGCCCTCTTCTCAAGGTTAGGAGGTATTTTTCCTTGTCTTTCAGCCGGGATGACAGGCCAACTGCTTTTCTGCTCTGCATCCTTTTGCGCCTCAGTACATTACCTTGATTTTTCCACTCCTGACTGTGCTGTAGGTACCCAGGTGCAGGCAAAAAATTGATATGCACATGGAGTTCCACTGGAGACTGTACCTTGTGCTCTCACTTTGTCCTTTATGACTAAGGGGGGGGGGTGGTGGTCTCTGGCGGGGCTTGAGGCTGGAATGCAGTCAGTGCTGACATCTGCACAGATTTTTCTCAGCCCAGTTGAGCTCATCACTGGCTCCCCAGAGGAGGCAGTAACTGCTTCCAGCAACTGCTTGGAACTTTCCCCACATTTACAGATATTTTCCCCTCACCCATAAAAAAATGCACACAACCTTCTTCCCACAAAGCTTTTCTACTTCCCTTGAGATCATTAACTTATATGCACCATGAACTGAATTCTAGAATACAGGGAATTCATGGTTTTGAAGGTCATATACTTAAAACACTCTCAGACCATGAAGCATAATTCATTCCCCTATAATATACTAAAAGGAGAGAAACCTTCAACTAAGCCAACACTTACTCTTTAAATGCAACTAGATGTAGAACGCCTTTAAGTAATTTCATATACTAATGTGCATTATTTTTGTGGTGAAAATTTTTTTTAACATATTTACTTTGATAACTGCATAAAAAGTACCAGATCCAGATTAATGGAATTCTGATTCTCCATGAATGAAACTCCAAGCATTAATTTCTTATAGTTATGATAATCACAACAGCTAGAAACATTGAGTTTTATGTATTATATTACATAACACTGAAAATTTCCTTAAAATTTATGCTAGACTATTAGCTCTGGGAGTGAAGGAAGTCTTTCTGTTTTGTTAAGTGTTATGTGCCCAGTGCCTAAAACTGCTTGGTAGAGAGTAGGCTCTCAAAAACATTTATTGAATAATGTTAATATACTGATAATTCCTTTCTTATACCTGAAAGATAACTCAAGAATAAAGTTTAGGGGCGCTGGGTGGCTCAGTCGGTTAAGCGTCTGCCTTTGGCTCAGGTCATGATCCCAAGGTCCTGGGTTCTAGCCCCACATCGGGCTCCCTGCTCAGTGGGAAGCCTGCTTCTCCCTCTCCCACTCCCCCTGCTTGTGCTCTCTCACTTGCGCATGCTCCCTCTCTCTCTCAAATAAATAAATAAAATCTTAAAAAAAAAAGAACAAAGTATAATAATTGCTGCTTTCAAAGTTTCAGAAATCTCAAATTTAATAAAGTTTTCAGTATCTTCTTTCATGTTTGGTTTAAGTATTTATTGTTCTTTTTCAAATTAAATGTGTAGCCTCTTTGATTTTGACACATGTGGATATGGCAAGTTTTCATTTACTTAAAGTTTTAGAGTTTATAGAATACTTTGTTAATTAGCCCTTTTGCACCCAACAGCCATGTTTCAAAACCCCCGCTATCCTTTAATTATCTGTGTCTAGACCACTAATCAGTATCTCCCTCTTCTTCAACTGCTTTAGTGGTCTCCCATTAGGAATCATATTGATTATCAAATTGCTCTTTAACCTTAGAATCATTGTGACTTTCTCTTTTCTTAATTAGTTTTTCTCTACATGTCTAGACACTCACCAACTACTGAAACCCTCAGTTCTAAAGCCCTAGGAAAAAATGCTAAGTCACTTGCTCCACTTCTGGAAAAAATACCTTTGCGAAAAAATAACATTAGCAACTTTCTAATGTTCTACCTTTGATGCATATGTTTTTATAAACTTTAGCATAGACTGAAATACTTAAAATTCCAAGTTACTAACTCTAACAAAATGTCATTTTGTTAAAGACATCAAAAGAAGATATCTCTTATTCTATAAAAATGACAAAGAATAACATAGAAAAGGAGATAACACAGAAGTTATTATATCTAATAACTACCTTGTGTAGTTTAAACGATTTTATTTAAAGATCCAAAACATATACTTCAAACATTGATTTAAGTTCCTTAGAATAATTACAAAATTCCAATTGAATCAATAAATTAGAGCTGTTTACAGGAAAACACTGAAGATTCCTCTTTAACAAGTCTCATTAATTAAATCAAAAGCTAATGAATAGAAGGCAATCAAGGCTTGATTGGCAATGAAGACATTAATTCAGGTGATTAATGTAGTAAAAAAAAAAACTTTTAATTGTGTTAATAATACTACAGAACATTCTATTGGAGGTATTGCCAGGTTTTACCCAGTTGTCTTAAGCTATTTAAGGAGCTGTTTTAATTTCAGAAATTCTTTACTATTCTCTAATTTTTCAACATCTCACTTGGCCAAGCTGACTTCAGGCCCAGGAATGAATCATCCTTCAGTCCGCTGGTCACACAGAAGAGCTGTCAAATGCAGGATGAGGAAGAGCCAGGGGAATGCCCAAGCACAGAGCTTTCCACACACCGAGACGTGGGGATACTGGGTGTCCTGGCAGAGCCATGTTCAAGTGGATCCGGCTTTCAAACTGGTTCTAACCACAAATCCAAATCTCTATGAACTTCAGAAACTCTGTCCGCAGTGCTGTATGCCCTAAGTTTGTAAAAAATAAAGTTCTCTTGCGAGAGAAAAACAAGAAGATCTAGGAGTTTTGAACAAGGAACACAGCCTGTTCATTTTTTCATGCATTTGTTCATTTGTTCACTCAACATTTGTGAAACCTACAAAGGAAAATGCCCCTTTTAGGGTAAAATTTCCAGGTTCAAAAGATGATGCACAGAAAGAATTTCCTTATGAGCAAAAATTCTCAAAGGAAAGCCCAAAGGTTTTCTGTTCCATTAGTTACTTCAAATTCATAGGATAATTTAGTACAATAAAACAAAATTACAAATATTATCTAGGTCATCTTTGAAAATAGTGTCCATGTGCTAACACCTAGAAGAAATTATATCTAGAGGATACAAAGGAATTTAAGGCAATATACCTAAAAGAAATTTAATATACTCTGGAAAATTTAATATATTCTGCCTCTCTTCCATTATGACTTTGTCTCAAGAGAAACTGCTGGGAAATAATACCAAGTGCAGACAGATACAATGCTTATTTCCTTACTGTATTTGTCTAGAAGCAATAGAAGGAAATGTAGGTACTACTGAGGAAGCGACAATGGCAAACTAGAGTTATATCAAGGACCATATATTGGGCTGAATTTTTAAATTTTCAGAAAAGTCATTAAAATATTTTAAAGGTACTATTAATAGTGCTTG